TGAAAGACTTCAAAATTGTGATGAATCGTGACAGATCCGTGTCTATAACAGAAGGGAGGTAACTCTATAACATGTTACTTTCCCTGTTCCTCCCAGCATCACCCTTTTCCAGACCCTACTAAACATTTTGAGGAAATCAAAATATTTGAAATTGGATTTTTATAATTATATTTTTGATACCTACCGACCAGAACAAGTAAGTGTACGAGGGTTATCCATATCCAACAAGAAGATCTTGTTATGAAATAAGCCTGTTTGTATGGTCCGCTGTGCTTCATATATTTATTCCCGTACTAATTGTGTAAATGTATTGTGCTGCCATCTTGTGGACTTCAGCTGCATTAATCGAGTGACGTAGACTTAAAGGTGAATATTACAACTTACAAAGAACATGAGGTATTTCAACATTGTGGATTGTGTCTCTTTCAGTGCCAAATTAATGTCCTTGATTTTGATCTATGTTGTCTTGTAAAATTATGCATGTTACATATTAATCATGTGTAATTTAAATCATTTGCTTAGATTATTAATACATTATATGCAACTACTTGAGTTAGTTCAGTAAGGCCTTATGTACATACTCTATGCAGTAGGTGAGACACAAGTGTATTGTGCTATACTGACCATTGCTGTTCATGATTGCCGTCAGCACTGGGAAGCATCGCTAGGTTGCAAAGTAATATGATGCATGTGTATTATTTGTTGAGAAACATCAGAAAATGAGTGAATATGACATGAACACTGACTAGGAATAGCACAAATCATAAATAAATTGTTTCATATTTGATACAGCCGTGAAAGATTGGTGTTAAAACCATTTTCTTCATCCTGGTGAAGACATGATTGTACATTTCAGAAAGGCCAGTTTTGAAATATTTTTTTTCTTACATTTTATAAAATGATTGGTAGTGAAGGAGGATTTATTATTTTAACTATTATTAAATCCAAGTAAGTGAACATGAATCCTCTGATTACAACAATTTCAGGTGTATGTGAATATATTTTTCTTATCCATTGAGTTACTATGAATGTTTCCCATTGCTGACAAGCATCATGGACTGTCTTGTGGTCAGTGCTTAAAATAACACAGTCTCTCCATTTACAATAATACTTCATCCTTCATCTTCATTTCAGCACATATTTTGTAAAATATTCATTTGTGAACATTTTCTTAATCATCGTTACCTGTAAATGTACTTTTAAGATACAATAAAAATAAGTCAACTTGATGCTGTAGTTTTGTTTACGTTACAGTTGGAGTTGCTGCACAGTGTCGTAGCAGGTATATTTGTGAAATGTGAATAAGCCTATGTGTGAAGGTCTGTTGTATCTCAACACCTTATACAGCAATGACCTGCCTCTCATACCTGTTACATCACAGCAATGAGCGAGTTTTAATTTTTGCTGCATTTAGTGATAATCCAGTAATTTCACAGTGCGGGGACACCAGAAATGGGCTTCATGCATTGTACTCACGTGGGAGATCGAACCCGGGTCTATGTGACGTGTGAAAGCTTGTGTGAAGCTCATGTCTGGTGTCCCTGGCGTGATCTTGCTGGAATATTGCTGAAAGCAGAGTAAAACTATGTTCACTCACTCACTCACTCACACCCAGTTGGTGTAAAGGGGATGAAGGACAAGCAGTGAGCAAGGTTAGTTGTTTGCCGCACTCACCAGTATTCCAGCTTTATGGCGGCGGTCTGTAATTAATTGAGTCTGGACCAGACAATCCAGTGATCAACAGCATGAGCATCGATCTAGGCAACTGGAATACGATGATGTGCCAACCAAGTCGGCGAGCCTGACCACCCGATCCCGTTAGTTGACTCTTATGACAAGCATGGGTTCCTGAAGATCAATTCTAACCCGGATCTTCACGGGTTGTGCCTGAGTGACGTATGGCATGTTACTGGGCTAGCACAATAGACCCACCACACACACACGTACACAGCCACAGAAGTGAACAATCATCTGTACCCCATTTCACCTCAACACGCAGTTGATGTATTACTGTGATGTAAATTGTGAATCTCCGAAAACAATAGCAACAAAACAAAGACTTTGATTTTAGTTTTATATAGATTCCTTTTGCACAACCAACAAAACACAGAAATTGACGACATCAACCCATAAAGGCAAGAAACATGTAAACCAACACATACATTGATACAAAAAACATGAAAACCACACTTGTCTCTTCAGTATATTGAGGCTAGGAAAGACAGGACACTGACAGACAAGATTACACAATGCCATTTAGAGAGTGGTCAAATGTAACGTGTTATATTTGGGATTACACTTTCTTAGTAAAGTACAAATTCTAGCGGTTTTCATGTTTTTACTCAAAAAGTACTAGAATTTGTACTTTACTAAGAAAGTGTAATCCCAAATATAACACGTTACATTAGACCACTTTCTAAATGGCATTGTGTAATCATAGCTTTCGGCCGTGGGAGCCGTGCCAATTAACACATATCAGAGGGGTACACAAAGCCCGCAGTCTAGACTACCAGTTGTCCGACTTCCATTTTTGTGTTAGTCGCGGTAGCTGAGTGGGTTAGGCTGCTGACTTTGTGTGCTGGCGATTAGGTGCCTGACTCTGAGGGTGTGAGTTCGAATCCCGGATGGGGCTCAACTCAAAAAGTACTAGAGTTTGTACTTTACTAAGAAAGTGTAATCCCAAATATAACACACGTTACACTGACAGACAAGCTGCTGAGAGTGCCATCAAACAGGACTACAAAATTATGAACTGTTACTTATACGTGACTAAACCCATTCTACAATCACAAGAAATTCACAGCATGATGCAGACTATATACAAAAACCCATCTGTTTATGAAGTCTGTGGACAGCATTTAGAAGTGATACACATAGTGGCGAGATTTTATGGATGTCAACATCTTCATTTTGAGGAACATGAAGTTTCAGAGTTTATCTTTATTTACCTGATAAAGGAGTAAGAATATACTCTGAAATGTTGTGTTCCTCAAAATAAAGAAGTTGACATCAATAAATTTTTGCCTTTATCTGCTTATGAATCACAATGAAATATTCATGATACCACATACATTTCTTAAACCATGTAACCCTCTGACATTTTAATAAGTGAGCATTTAACAGAACAAACACATTTATATTTTTATAGAAATAAAGGAATAATTACAATTGGTTCTTTGTCTTTGGTAGACATGGACTGACCTTATCAATGACATCCACCCAGGTACTGTTCAGTTTCTGCCACTTTTAGCAATATTCCAGCAATATCATGGCAGGGGGCACCAGAAATGGGCTTCACCCATTGTACCCATGAGGGGATTCGAACCCAGGTTTTTCATCGTGACGAGAGAATGCTTCAACTACTAGGCTACCCCACTGCCCCTGCCCACTTGTGGCTTAGGTAAAACACTGAGAAGAAACCAATATGAGGCCATGTCTGTACCTTTGTGAGGCGAAGTCCATGAGATGTTGCATGTTCATATCCTTTCAGAAGTGGAAGAAGTATGCTCTTGTGTTGGTTCTTCATATTAGGTCATTTGGTAGAATTATCCACCGAGCTGTACCAACTTACACTTGTCAGTGGGGTACACAAAGAATGTGATCTTGACCACCATTTATCTCGGTGTCTGAGTGGGTTAGATCTTTGTGTGCTGGTGAAGGTGCCTGTAGGTTCAAATATAAAACCCAACCTCAGCCCCAAAATATAGTACTAGAATTTGTACTTGACTCAGCTGTGAGTATTACTCAAAACGTATGATCTAAATTATACATTTCATCAGTAAACTACCGTATCTGTTATTTCATCAGTAAGGTATTAAACAGCAAAGTGTATTCTGTTTTCTTTTCCATAAAAAGGAATAAAAACAAAAAATCATGAATAAAATTTGATTGAATTGAAACTTCAGATCAGTAAAATCTCATGAATATACATGATACAGTTGATGAAATAAAACAACGATACAGTTCATAAATGGGTGTTTACCCTACACTTAAGTGAGTGAGTGAGTGAGTGAGTGAGTTTGGTTTTACGCCGCTTTTAGCAATATTCCAGCAATATCACGGCGGGGGGCCACCAGAAATGGGCTTAACACATTGTACCCATGTGGGGAATTGAACCCGGGTCTTCGGGGTGACGAGCAAATGCCTTAACCACTAGGCTACCCCACCGCCCCCCCCTACACTTAAGACCCACAGCCAATAGGAATGTCAGTATTGTTCGATAAGCTACTGTTCTCCCACGAGTCCCAGGTATCTATCTTTGATCAATGACCTTCTATTGACATTTTATGAATAAGAAAACTGCACTATATATTAGGGGTGGGCGATTATACCGGTTAACCGGTATATTGCAATTCTAACTTCACAATACGATATATTGCGGTACACTTTTCGCAAACCGGTTCATCCTATACGATCGGTAATTTTCGTGATGTAGTCAAAACTACTAGAAACATTTTTATTTCCTTTATATTATTATACATTAATTGATTTGAGAATGTTTAAACCTTTTAAACCATATAAATAAATAAAATAGATTAGAACCGGCACTTGTAAGGATAAACAAACCAAAATGGCGGACGCCGCTGCAGACGCTTTTTCCCCGAGTCACAAACTTTTGAGCGAAGTCTTCAATTTGGAAACATTTTCGATTGATCTCTTGTACAATCACATCTGAGTCCTAGCAGTGGTCCAGTGGCATTGTTTCAAGAGAAAGGAAACAGTAATTTAATTACCTTAACCCATGTGTTACATTTTCACAATATATTGCAATACATATCACAATACGATGTTTGGCAATACCCAACCCTACTATATATGAAAGACAAGGCTCTCTTCCCAAAGTTTGCTAATGGACCACAATCTCAACTGGTTTGATTGAGTTCAGTTATAATGGTTGACAATCCATGAATGAGAAACTGCACTACTTTTGAAAGTCAAATTAGACGGTAACAATACTCCAACTTTAGAAGTTTTGAAATCTGGAACGTTTCTTTCCAAAATTTGCCTATGGACTACAATCTCAACTGGAGTGACTTGTTTTCAGTGCTTATCGTCACCTGGTGATTGCACAAGCTAATTACAAGATGGTGGAACATTGGGAGCTGGAGAATTGCCCTTTCAGCAATAATCACTTACCCAATGCAATTTGGTCTCGATGCATAAAGCTGTTTGAACAAATAGCTAAACACAACATCTGCATGAACACACCATGTTAGGAGTGTGTCCATATATTACAGCTGTCAAGTGGCCCATGACAAATTATTGATGGATAAGTATGTCAATAGTTGACTTTGATTCTACTCAACAATATGGCAGTTTCTATAAATATTACACCATAATATACACATATATTGAACACATGAACATGTTAGGACATAAGAATTATATTAATATCACATATATTCCCTGTAAATCTGATTTGGGAATATTGTGATTATCTATGTACATTCACTGGGACTAGGAATTACATGGATACATTAATCTGAGATGACACAACCTTTACTGGAATAAAATCATGCCGACTTGCTCAAGAATATATATCTATTATAGACTTTGGTTTTGACCCAGAACTGAACTGTATTAACCAAATGTTCCTCATCAGTTACTTGGGAACATTATCTGAAATTCAAAGAGACATGCACCCCGTCCTCTCAAAAATGACCATTGCAGATTAAGTGAGTGAGTGAGTCAGTCTAGTTTTATGCCGCTTTTAGCAATATTTCAGCAATAGCATGCTGGGGGACACCAGAAATGGGCTTCACACATTGTACCCATGTAGGGAATCGAACCCGGGTCTTCTGTGTGTCGAGTGGAACGCTTTAACCACTGGGCCACCCACTGCCACAGACCTGTCGACAACTGCAATAGTACTGCCATAGTCTCATGACAATTGTCAACTACTGCAATACTACTGTAACAGTAGTAAATCACTTGGTAACTATATATATACATCAGTGTAACAGCAATGACAGCGCATCACTAGCTTTGGTCCCTAGCCTTGTACATAAAGACCAATCTTTGGATTCCCAAACATAGTGTCAGGTTTTTAACATCACATTTACAATTAATACTTTAAAGATGGAAGACATTTTACCTTTCATATTTTGCCATTCAAATAGACTGTAAATCACCTGTACACTGAAGACATGAGCATCTGAAGGATTATAGACAATGTTTTTTCTGTGTACTTATATAGAAACAAGTGAACGCATCAGATCGAAAATTCCTCAAAAACCATGTGCACGGAAAAAAGTCATTCTGGAATATAATCTAAAAATAATTATGGCCAAACAAAGAAGAAATTACACAAATGTCATAAACTCAGTATTATGTGCACACAAATGATGTATTATATACCTTACCAGACAACTAGAGATCCATTCCACAAAGTGATCTTAGCGCTAAGACGATCTTAACTAGCATTCTTTAACAACCATTTATAACAATCGTGCACCTATGATACCTTGTAAAAGAGGGCCTTGAAATTCATTGTACAAAGCAATCTTAGAGCTGAGTTGATCATAACTCCTACAGTTTCACACTGACTTACGACAGTTGTAGAGCTAACATTGCGTTGTGAAATACGGCCCTGGATTCCATTGTATAAAGCATTCTAAACGCTAAGACAATCGTACCATGCATTCTTTAACACCGATAACCGACAGTCATACAGCTATGATCACTTTGTAAAATAGGGCCTTGGATTCCATTGTACAAAGCGATCTTAGCGCTAAGTTGATCGTAACTCCCATACTTTCACATTGACTTACGACAGAGTTAAGATTGTTTTGTGGTATACGGCCCTGGGCCTAGATTTTCGAAGCTCTCTTAGCTCTAAGATAGTCGTAACTGCCATACATTAACATTAACTTACGACGATCTTAGCTCTAAGAGAGCTTCCAAAATCTAGGCCCTGGTAGTTAACTCAGGCAGGATGATCACATAATCTCATTACTGTTGTAGGCTTAGAAGATATGATTGTCTGCTTGATCACTGTGTCAGAGTTATATGTGGGTATATCTGTGTGCTCCAGGTACCAACACTTGAATGTCTAGGGGTCCCTTTAGGGACAGTTTGAAATTGAGATAGGTGTGAATCCAGTGATGAGTAGTAAATGCATACTTGTCCGATCTTTCAACACCTTTCAGTTTGAGGTGCATACATGCCTTCTTCTGTAAGTCACTGATCGTGTCGAAGTTTGCACACTGCTGTCGCATCCAGAAATGTTTAGCTGGATCTATGGATGGGAAGAAGTATTCTGCTGGAGCCAGGTAAGTTCCATTAGTATGACTGTCTGGATAATGGTGTGCGCTTAGAAACTGCCGATATACAAATGTCATAAAATGGGGACCGGTTGAATCCAGAACGTTCCACATGTGGGAGAAAGAAGGGAGATAATCAATGACCATTTTCAAAAATGGATGTCCCTTACGACATGCAATGAAGGCATTGATTATGAGATGTTCGAAGTTGGAATCAAGAATGGAATGTTCGTATGGTTCCTGTGCTAGGATACATGAGTACTTGTAGGTAACGGGAGCTAGAGGTTTCAAACTCTCCAAGTCCATGTCCGCATAAACCCCTCCATACTCATACAGAATAAAGTAACGCAATGCATCTGCTCGGCGAATTCCTTCCGAGTAGCTGTCAAAAATGGGAAGAAAGGAAGGATATTTATCTGCAATTAATTGTCTTGCACTCTCGTCTGTCCACAGAATGTATGTCCAATCTGGGTTGTTACGCTGCCAGGTTCTCACCCATTTTTCAAACTTCCGGGGTATTTGGGTATCCTTCCAAGTTTGATGAATGATTTTTGGAAATTTAGGTTTGCCACTTGTAGGAAAACTCTCCATTTCTTTGATACCAAGTGGTACGAAGTCTTTAGAGATTGGGATCGTGAGGTCGGCAAAGTCACCATGTTCTCGAATCTGTTCGAATTTAATGAGCCAATGGAGGAGGAATATCAATGTGAATCCGATAATGAGAGTCTTGCAGGTTGACCTCCTCTTGTCTTCTCGGAAGATGAGGCTGCAGCAGAGGTTCAGCATCCTCCCGAAGCGATGTCGTGCTGGAACAGTAAGATGTGAGTGAGTGTGTTATACATTATTTCAGTTACATCACAGCGTGTTACCTTCGCATGGGAAGAGAGCACAAGTGATGCAGTACAGTTTCTACTTGGTCAAATCAATGTACATGGTTCGCACAAACCTGGAAACGTGGTAACATCAGGACAATCTGAGATTTGATCCCACTATTACAGATGTTCTGGAAACAATGCCACACAAGAAACAGCAGTGCCTTTGAGATGACAAATGGATATACACACAGCCACAGACACACCACACACAGCTGCAGCCACACAACCACACACACAGAGCCACACACACACCACACACAACCACAGACACACTTTACCTTTCATATTTTGCCATTCAAATAAACTGTGCATCATCTGTAGATGGACGTGGTGCACTTAAAACATGAGCATTTGACAGATCTTGTACTTATAAAAAAACAAGTGAACAGACATATTTACTTTCTGGCCAATAGGTATCAAATAAAAAATTGCTCGAGACCAGGTGTACGAAAAAAGGCAGTCAGGAAGACAATCTAAAATTAATTATTGCTAAACAAAGAAGAAATTACATTACTGCTGTAAAGTCGTATTATATGCACACAAATGACAACTGGGGATCCATTCCACAAAGTGATCTTAGTGCTAAGATGATCTTAACTAGCATTCTTTAACAACCACTTATGACAATCGTGCAGCTATGATTACTCTGTGGAACAGGATCTTAGTGCTAAGACAATCAGACAGACAGACAGACACGCACAGTGGGACACACACTTTACAGAACATGGAACCTTTTGAATCTATTTTGACTGAGTTATTAAATCTAACAACATATGTCAAAGTTACATGCAATCATCTCTGATCTCTTCATTACTGGCATGGGTTGATTTTACTTATCACAGTTATTCTCAGTATTGTTTTACGCCACTCCCAGCAATCTATGTGGACTAAGATTGTATCCATGCGGTAAATTGTACTCAGATGCTTGGAATGATGAGTGAATGTTCTAGCAATTAGGCAGCTCCAACACCAGAAATTACTGTACTAAAACTGGACAGGCAATGATGTTATTTCCACGTGAACTGGAACACTGATAGGTTCTCAGACATGACCTGTTTACACAAGCATGGCGCCATTTCAACTTATTGTCCTTAAACTAGGGTGAGTGAGTGAATGAGTTTAGTTTAACGCCGCTTTTAGCAATATTCCAGCAACATCAAGGCGGGGGACACCAGAATGAGCTTCACACATTGTACACATGTGGGGAATTGAATCCGGGCCTTCGTCGTGACGATCGACTCTTGAAACTAGGGCTGTACCAGTCCACTTGCATATTTGGTGAACTGAACTATATCCCTTCACAAATTCAATTCATTATTCGTGATCATTAGAATGGAGTGTTCATAATTAAAATTTTTTAAAGGAGTTATGATAGTTGAGTTTGAAGTCAGTACAAAATATGCTGAATGGAATACATCCAAACCAGGCAGGATAACCGCTATTCTCATATATAAAACTTAATTAATACTTATGTGTTCACTAGTCCCCCTGTGATGATAAATCAATACTGTTAACATGGTCTAAACATGTCAAAGAAATATTTTGTCAATATTTCACAGAACTTAATGAATAATACATCATCTGCTGACTTGTTATCGTATCTGTTACCCATTATTCATATCCGTTACCCAATATCAATATTCGTTACCCAACATTCATATCTGTTACCCAATATCAATATTCGTTACCCAACATTCATATCTGTTACCCAATATCAATATTCGTTACCCAACATTCATATGTTACCCAATAATCCATATTCGTTACCCAACATTCATATCTGTTACCCAATATCCATATTCGTTACCCAACATTCATATCTGTTACCCAATATCCATATTCGTTACCCAACATTCATATCTGTTACCCAATATCCATATTCGTTACCCAACATTCATATCTGTTACCCAATATCCATATTCGTTACCCAACATTCATGATCTGTACGCTATTCTCCTCTTAGTGGCTTTGTGGCAGCCATACTTGAAACAATCACAGCCATGGTTCATCACAGCCATGATATACTAGGGCACCTTATCTATGGTAAACCTTTTGTACACATAACATGTCTCCCACGAGAGTACTAACTTTGGATGATTTAGATCATGACTATTTATACCTTGTGTCAATGACTTTTGACTTCTTATGATACTGGCCAAAGGCTATCAAATTTGCCCGACAAATTGTATATGGTCAACATGCAATATACTTTTGCATTTCTTGCATTTATTCTATGGACACCAGTCATGTTTCAGCCATTATCACACTACCTTGACCCACATAATATTGACCCATAATGCAACAAAAGGAGTAAAAAATATTATTTGGAAATTGAGTCTGAGATCAATGTTGGCTATATGTACTTGTTGCTAATTAATTCGAAGTCAGGGGTCAAGGTCAGGGTAATTGGGGTTACTGGAGGTGTGTTTTAAAAGTATTATGTCACAAGCAACAGACCCCTCTTTGAGGGGCTGAATGTTCCTTGCCTTTGCCGAGACAGAGGTGAAATACACATCGTCTCGACAAAGTCATAACAATAGTAATAAAAATAATAAGACAGGGTCATTTGCCCACTCATGGGGGCAAATATCCACAGTGTAGATCTTGACTGAAATTTCACACAATCATGCAACCTTCACAAAATACTTATCTACGAAACATTACATGTAGATGTATACATATTTACATACACATGTAATTCAAACAAGTGAGAAAATATACAAAAGCAATAATACGACATATTACTGTAAACAATATTTCTCTACACCATGCTGACTGGAAATACTGACAACAATAAAATACAAACTTAAATATAAGCTAGATAAGCATTGTGTTGACTTGATGAGACTTGATTGTGCATTGACAATGAAAAAAGTCATAAAGATGTACCATGATATTTCCAACAACAAAGATTTCTAAAAAAGAAAACAAATTTAGTATGACCAACTGCTATACAGCAATTATATCACTTATGTACAGCATAATCTGTACAACACAATGTGAGATGTGTCACTTATGTACAGCATAATCTGAGATGTGACACTTACGTACAGCATAATCTGAGATGTGACACTTATGTACAACATAATCTGAGATGTGACACTTATGTACAACATAATCTGAGATGTGACACTTACGTACAACATAATCTGAGAAGTGACACTTATGTACAACATAATCTAAGATGTGACACTTATGTACAACATAATCTGAAATGTGACACTTACGTACAGCATAATCTGAGATGTGACACTTACATACAGCATAATCTAAGATGTGACACTTATGTACAACATAATCTGAGATGTGACACTTATGTACAACATAATCAGATGTGACACTTACGTACAACATAATCTGAGATGTGACACTTACGTACAGCATAATCTAAGATGTGACACTTTTGTACAACATAATGTGAGATGTGACACTTATCTACAGCTTAATCTGTACAACATATTCTGAGATGTGACACTTATGTACAACATAATCTGAGATGTGACACTTATGTACAACATAATCTGAGATGTGACACTTACGTACAGCATAATCTGAGATGTCTACTTATGTAAGGCATTATCTGAGATGTGACACTTATGTACAACATAATCTGAGATGTGACACTTATGTACAACATAATATGAGATGTGACACTTATGTACAACATAATCTGAGATGTGACACTTATGTACAACATAATCTGAGATGTGACACTTATGTACAACATAATCTGAGATGTGACACTTACGTACAGCATAATCTGACACAACCCTGAAAGGCGACATGCCGGTGCCTTAAACAACTGACCCATCAGTGGACAAAACAACCGAGCAGATGTTTTGGAATTACTGAAAGTCAATATTTATAAAAATGTCCTGCTTAACATATTGGGACTCCTTATATTGCAACACAATTTTCAAAGCATGAAAACTCTCACAAAACAACAAAAATCAATTTCTACATTACAGGAAACTGATATTTTCCACAAAAAATACACCACACAAATAATAAATCTCTCATCAAAATGATGTGCTTTAAAGGAACGCAGCATGCAAAACAATCACAATGTCATAGTTACATTACTTAAGTTTACCTGTATAGAACTTCCTAGTCACGTCATGTAAGCTTGCCTGCAAAGTAAGCCTGTTGTTATACTCTCAGTATGCTATCCACAGCTGTGAAACTACCCTATATACCGGCACAATAATATTCCATGCTGAATTTTTAACACGCAGATGTGACCAACGTCCCACTGTAAAACATACATGGTATGTTATCAGATTGTGGAGATGTATCAGTGCACAACTGCACCTAATGTAGCCGGAATCACTTATGGTTTGTGATACTCGATACAGGTAAGCATTCTCTAGTTCACAGCGTTACCACAAACACAAAGTAGAAACCAGTGGCAGAAATCAATTGTATGTCTTCTGAAAGAGAAAACCCTGTGCTTCAAGTTAACAGGGTAGTATCTGTATTCACAACAGATAAGGCCAAAAAATAATAATGTGTGTTTAGTGTAACATGAATTATAAAACAGGGTTGGTAGGTAGGGATTATCTGGGTTTTTTTCTTACACTTTTATTTAAATGCACTCGCATATTTTTCATAAAATCACATATTTATGTAATATCAGGGACCAGTTTTGAAAGAAAAGAGGGGAAACTAGTATAAAATTTTAATAACTGAAGCATCAACACTTTTTAAATTCAACATTTATGAAGAACAAGAGTAAGCGAGCACAGGTCACATATGGTCGGCCCCAACATTGGGAAGTACATATTGTTGGAATAGCAAAAATGTTCTGCTGTCTTCTAAACAAACAGAAAAAAAGTTTAGGGTCGGGAAGTTTGTTATGGGGTTGGTTGGAAAACCGTAAACACATATATTTTGCGTGTGCCTAACCTTGCTGCATAGAAAGTAGTTGAAACAAATTCTGTACAGATCACACTTGACTGAAGACACACAACGCCGTTACAGAAAACTTGACATCGTTTCATGTCGATGTGGGTACGTGTCAATTATATTGCATGACGGGCCATGTGTAATATAATATGGGTGTGGCATGTAAAGTAAAGTTAGAGAACAAAGAGCACCTCCTTTCTCTTCTGCAAGAACAGGGCTGTTTGACAGGTGTGAAACATACAAAACCAGTTTTGTGACTGAGTAGTACGTATTGACCGATTGAAACCCTATGGGTACATGGCATCCTTTCATACTGCTTAACATATTTGGGGGGATTATTTTTCGTACTTGTTTTACGGAAAACACCACATCATTGCTGTAACATAAATTTTTAAGCATACTGGTAATCATGTTGATCTAGAATATAACCCCATCTAGATAATTCAACCAAAAACAAAGCTTAGAAAACATAAAAAATAAAGTTTTTGAAAATTACAAATACTTAATTGGCTAATTTTGTGGTACACCATGTTGTGCTTCCATTTTACAAATACAAGTCTGAGTGAGTGAGATTAGTTTTACGCCACTTTTAGCAATATTCCAGCAATATCACGGCGGGGGACACCAGAAATGGGCTTCACACCTTGTACCCATGTGTGGAATTGAACCCAAGTCTTGCGAGAGACGAGTGAATGCTTTAACCACTAGGCTACCCCACCTCCCCCCCAATACCAGTATATCCCTCGCACTTTCAAAACAGCTGTTTGTGTACTTGTACAATGTCTAGAATTGTTCACAAAGTATACACAGTGGTTAAATTAACTATTATAAACGCACAATTTGGTGACTAATTTGTCCGACATTGTTCACTTCCGGTGTTAATCAACAAACTCATTTATCTGGAGATTGATCCAATATGCTTTTGATGAATTTTTAGTTGTTTAAAACAAAACTTTAAAGGTCACATGCAACGTAAAACACAACTTTGCAGATTCTGATACCTTTCGGTATGGACATACCGAAACAAATCGTCAAAAATGCAAATTCAACGCGATGAAAAAAACCGCGAGAAATCGGAGTTCAAACGTTTCACTAATTTTCCCCAACTTTTCTGGGGAAAACGGGTTTCAACAGCTGTGCTGCGCTCATAGCACGTGCGCCATGCTAAAGTAAATAGGTTCGCGCAGCTTGGAAGCCGGGTTGTCGGGTGAATACCCGGTGAAGGCTTTGGTGTGAGCTATTTTTCTAATGTTTTGTTGATATCTAACAGGCGAGCTTTTTATATGTTATGACAGTTAATTAACTGTTTATATAATTTCATTTGTCTATTTCACCACACGCTCTTCTTCTTACCGAGACACTTTCTCAGTTCGATACTTAAAAGCAATGTCATTATTTAGCGTTGACAGAATTTCTAACTGTGATATAGATATGTCGTTGTCACAGACAAAACTCAATGTCTTGTTTTATTGACACCTGTGTGTCTGCCTGCCTGTCTGCTAATGACAATATTCAATACACAGCTGCTATCACTGACCACATGCAACTTGAACTTAACACCAATCAGGCTATGCACCATAAACAAAATGCATTGATTTATGGCCCGAAGTTCGGGTCTCTGTCACGCTATGTAATTACACAGACAGGCAGGTGTGATACTTTGTACACATGACATGTTATGATGTCTGTTGATTGTAAAATGTTATACACAAATAATGAGCATGTATTTACAAAACCCAACATCTCTATATATACACACACAATGACCCGTGAGGTCATCTGCAAATGAACCAGCCGTTACACTTGAGTGCACACCCACCCACTCTGACTGGGTTCGGTATCCCGGCTGCTTCGTTTCTTGGGAAGTAAACCGAAGTACACAATATTGCACTTTTGATTTGCGATTGTACGCTTATAATTTTGTTTATATGTTTTTTCATAACCAGCAATGTATATTATATGTCATGAATAAGTGATAATTGTGTTTTAATTATGTTTGATTTTTTGGTTGCATGTGACCTTTAAACAAATTAACAATTATCAGCATAACAGTTTTGGTTTGAATATAAGACACAATGTACAAAGACATGTCAGGAAATGTTCATCGCCTGTAATAGATGACAAACAGTGTGAAAAATAATGGAAGTTTGTTAAGACTTGAACACGGACAAACGTCAAGCTCCCCTTGTCTATCGTATGGACTTGTCTATCACATTAACTGCAGTGTTGGAATGATATTATTCAGAAATGACTGACTGACTGACTGAGTTGGTTTACTCCGCTTTTAGCATTCAGAAATGAACAAATACATATGATCACTATACTGTAGCCTATGGGAGATATAATTATTTTTCTAAAAAATTTTATCATATTTTCTTCCAGCATAAATGATGGGGATTCCTCAAAGCTGATGATGATAACAACTTCATAAATATACTAATATGTATTTTAAAATGTTGCTCTTATAGAATTTATATCAAAGAAGATTTTATCAATAAATTGATTGATTGACTGAGTGAGTACAGCTTTACACTGGTTGTAGCAACCTTCCAGCAATATGACAAGAAATAAGCTTCACACACTGCACACGTTTGGGATCGAACTCGGTTCTTTGGCATGACATGTAAACACTTTAACCACAAGCCCACCCTGGTTGCCTTCAACACAATGGTCTCATCTGGATTCTCCATTTGACTTGAACCATGCTTACCTTCTGATGATCAATCCTGAAAGATTCCGTGTCAGTCAATGAACTAGGTTTTGAAACAGGCCTTTTTGTAAAGCGAACAGTTTGATTATCTATGTTGCATGTAATTCCATCTGATGACTGCTAAAACATTCTAACAGCTATCTACTTCGAAGCCGGATGTAGTCATAAGAGGGTCTCTACCCTGTAAACTAGTAATGAGGGTCTGTATGGGTGGCCCTTCACGGCAAATTACAATACTGATTGATGACAGTGAGTTTATGTTTGTTGTTTAAAGCTTCACTCAGCAAATTTCCAGGTAAATATTTGCGTCTGGACGAGACAATCCAGTGATTGATACTGTGTTTAACAGCACATGTTACAAAGATATGAGTGAGTGAGTTCAGTATAACGCCACTTTTAGCAATATTCCAGCAATATCATGGCGGGGGACACCAGAAATGGGCTTCACACATTGGACCCATGTGGAGAATTGAACCTGGGTCTTCAGCGTGACGAGCGAACGCTTTCACCACTAGACTACCCCACCACTCCTACAAAGATATGAAATCAATCAAGTCATCGAACCTCACCAAATAATTCATTAAATCACCTGCGTATTTTGCTGGAGACCAGTACTAATCTGGAATTCCCACAGATTCAGGGCCTGATGTAAGGAAATGAAACCTGCTTGCACCTGGTGCAACCTTATAGGTAATAACCTTGTTGCACAAGACAAAAACAGGTTGCACCTACTGCTCAATGTGAAATTATATATAATGCTTGAGGTTTGGTATTGACGATTTAGACCATTAATGGAACATAATATATTATTCTAATAATAAGATAATTTTATCTTTCTTCAAAATTTCATAACATGAACAGTAAGTCATTCAGCCACTCTGTGTAGTCACTGCTCCTAGCCAGTCTCTCATCATTGTTTTCCAACTGAAGTCTGTGTTCTCTGAACAGCAAAATATCAACAGGCACTGGATGCAAGCTGGTATGAATATGAGATTGCATTGTGTGGTTTCAGGTGGCACCAGTGAAAGTTCTAAATGCTTAATTTGAGCACTGAGAGTTATCTTGAAAGTAGAACATTTACTATTTTGTAAAACAGTTAATAAGTGTTTTTTGTAGGTATTCTAAGTGGACGATGAACTCCAAGAAAGATATTTGGGCATAATGTCTTTTTGTCGAAGGGCAGATTTTTCTGTCCAAATCACAGGTCCTGAGAGGAAACGAAAAACAAAAATGGCATCAGACCATGAGCCTTGATTTATTTTCTTGTTGAAAGCCTCACTTAGCAATTTCTCAGGCATATGAGGTTAATTGGTAAATAGCCCAGACCAGACCAGACAATACAGTGATTGATGCTTATCTACGTGTTTGGGCTATATTCAACCTGTCAATCAGTCTGACCACAATCTCAAATTAGGTGCCTCCTACAACAAGCACCTGTTACCGAAGACCGATTCTGCGATTTTCATTAGAGGACTGTGATTTTAAATCAGGGGCAGTGGGGTAGCAGAGTGGTTA